AGCAATACTAACCTCCTTGCTGCTCCTTGAACATTTAGATATATATTCACTTCACTGCCTGGGGCATTTTCTCACAGATATCCACATGGCTTTCTTCCTTATTTCTTTTGGAGAGGCTTTCTTTGACCACCCCATATAAAAAACAGAAACTACTCCTTCACCAACTAAGCCCTTGCACTCCCTATGTTGCTATATTTTCTTCCCATGGTACTTAACACCAACTGTCATACATATATTTTCAGATATCACCCCCCACACACACATACACACTTTCTCCACCATAATGCAAATTCTAGGAGGCACAACTTTGTTTTATTCACTTCTGTAAAACAATCCCTGGCATATATTAGGCACTCAATACAGGGTTTGGCAAAAGTAGGTTTACAGTTGTGAATATGTGAAACACAGTTTATCCCTGTATTATTATTTATTATTGTATTATTTTCTTTCTTTTTTATTTATTTATTTTTTTATCCTCACCCGAGGACATTTTTCCATTTTTTGTACAGATAGAGTGGGAGGGAGAGAGAGGAAGAGAGAGAGAGAGAGAAACATCGACATGAAAGGGACACATCGAGTGGCTGCCACCCACACGACCAACCAGAGCCGGGGACAAACTGCAACCGAAGTACATGCCCTTAGCGGGAACCGAACCCGGGTCTCTCCAGACCGCAGGCCGATGCTCTAACCGCTGAGCCAAACTGGCCAGGGTGTATTTTCTTTCTTTTTTAAATCCTCACCTGAGGATATGTCTTTATTGATTTAGAGAGAGAAGAAGGGAGAGAGAGAGAAACATCAATGTGAGAGAAACATCAGCTGTCTTTTGTAGGCACCTGGGGATTGAACCTGCAACCTAGGTATGTGCCCTGACTGGGAATCAAATCTGCAATCTTTTGGTGTACGGAATGACACTCTAAACAACAGGGCCACCAGGCCAGAGATTATTGTATTGTTTTTTTATGAACAACTGTAAACCTACTTTTGCCCCACCCCGTATTTGTTAAATAAATAGTGAGGCAGACAACAGACTGACAGAGAATGCACATGAGAAGCAGGCACAATTTAACTAGTTCAAAATGTCTGCCATCCCATTCACTGATCATTTGCAGAGAGCCCTGAGATGGGATAAATTAATCTATTCCTTTAGTTGGACTCAAATCTGCATATCTCTTTTATGCAAGCATAAATGTGCTAAGGATGATGATAATAAAGTACATTTTAAAATAGCATGATAAGTTCAACCAAAAACAATAGTGGTCTATCTGTTCCAAGGATAGAGCGAAATTATCTGTTAAATTCTCTGAGAAGCATACTATATTGTTTGGGTGATTTGAAGGATTTTCAAGGCTAATTCTGACTATCTGTAAATCTGCCTTTAGACTTAATATCAGTGACAAATATGACTCTGAGGTAAAAGCTTGGGCTCTAAGACATATTTAGGTTCTGCCATTTATTAGAGAATGTGACATTGGGTAACTTACTTACTCTATAAAGCTTTGTTTCTTCATCTATAAAATGAAAATGACCACGTACCTACTTTGTAGAGTGGTGGTGAGGATTAAACAAGATAATAACAAGTAGAAGCACTCATAACTGTCATATGGCAAATGATTAGTATATGTTAATCATTTATTATTATAAAAATCTAATTTAACACATCTGAAATCCTTTACGCTTTCTTAAAAGTTGCACAAGCCATTTGTTAGCTCTATAATCACTCAAAACAATATATTCTTGTTTCAAAATTTATTTTTATTTTTCAATCCTCATCCGAGGACATTTTTCCATTTATCTTCAGATAGAGTGGGAGTGAGAGAAAGAGAAACACTGACGTGAGAGGGACACATCCACTGGTTGCCTCCCACACAATGCCGACAACAGCCAGGGTCAAACTGCAACTGAGGTACGTGTCCTTGATTGGAATCGAATCTGTGACTCATTAGAATGTCTGTGTGCTGACGTTCTAACCACTGAGCCAAATCGGCCAAGGCACATAATATATTCTTTTAAGGAAAAAGTTATAACCAAGGTCTTCAAAAAGAATAAAATTGGCTACAGATTCAATAATTTTTATTGTCTAAAACTGCACTAACATCATCTCAATTACAAGATTATAATCCCATGTTTTTTTTAATCCTCACCCAAGGACAATTTTCTATTTTTTGTTCAGATAGAGTGGGAAGGAGAGAGAAACATCGATGTGAAAGGGATACATCGAGTGGTTGCCACCCACATGACCCAACCAAAGCCGGGGATAAACTGCAACCGAGGTACGTGCCCCTAGCGGGAACCAAACCCAGGTCTCTGGACCGCAGACCCACACTCCAACCACTGAGCCAAACCGGCCAGGGCTCTGCTATGGTTTTTGAGTAGTTTGTGAACAATTATACAAATTGCAAATACTAGCCCTGGCCGGTTTGACTAAGCGGTTGGAGCGTCAGCCTGCAGACCAGAGAGTCCCGGGTTCGGTTCCTGCTAGGGGCACGTACCAAAAAACAAACAAACAAACAAACAAAAAACAAATTGCAAATACTTTGAAGGATGCCTGGTGATCTTTTGTATTAATAGAGTCTTTACTCTATTGACTGCTGACTGCCTATCTCTTAGGTACTTGAAACTTATAAGAAAAATGGGTACCCCAGTTGTGTCAGTAGTCCCCAAGACTACTCCCAGGTTTGATGATCTAGTAGGAGAAATGATAAGACTTAGAAGTTGTGATACTCGCTGCTCTGATTTATCACAGTGAAAGTATATAGAGCAGGGTTAATAAAGGAAAGAAAAGTCTGAAGGATACTGGTTCCAGTTTCCAAGTGCCTTTTCCCAGTGGAGTTACATAGGACACACTTAATCAGTTCCCTAACAACATGAATAAAGTGTTTATCTCTTTGCTTTTGCCAGGGGAACTCTCTTAAGTCTAAGAGCCCTGATTTTTTTTTTATAGGGATCAGTCACTAAACCTTCAGACTCCCAGAAGAAAAGCATCATTCACCATAATCATATTTTTTGCACAAATGATCTAGAAAAGCTGGTACAACATGGTTCAAGGTTCCAGGCATGTAAAACACTCTTCAGTTAATAACAAAGGTTCAGTTCCCAGGAGTTAGCCAAGGCCAGTTATGCAAGCAGACCCTTCTGAAAAATGTGCATGATTTGAGCAACTCATACCTGCTGGGTTAACTCTTTCCTATATACATAGCATGTTAAGAAACACGACTCAGTATGAAGAGTGACCACAGATCATGTAAACCACTTAAAAGACACAGTCCTCATAGCAGGCCCATCCTTCTCTTTCTTACCATTCTAAGCATACATTATTCCTTCCACATCTACTCCTCACCCTGGAGCTTAGTAAAGCATGGGAGAAAGAATTATGTTAAAAGGTTCCTAATGAAATAGTCAAGAGCTTTATATCTCCTACATCCTTTCAAAATCAAAGGTCAAAAGATGAAATATAGAGCACCAAGACCAGTAGTTCCCAAATCCTATTCCTCAAGAAATGTTAATAGGTATTTAGCAAATAAAGGGTGCAATGGTCAAATAAGTTTTGGGAACAATATATACAATATCCCTTGCTTGGAGAGTTATGATTTTTTTTAGTATATTAAAAGCTCCGGAAGTCTTATTTAAAAAAAATAAACAAAAATCTATTGATTTAATTTTGCAAATCTAGCCATTTACTGAATTTCTTTTTTCCAGGAATAATTTTAGAGCAGAACATCTATTAATATCTGATAGAACACTGGCGGAGAAACTCTAGAACAGGAAGAATTTGCCAGAGGTTCTTAAGGGTAAGGTGGCATACCAGGATAAAAAAATAAGCAAGTTGGTATTAACCCAGTTATAACATAAGTGATCCTAAATGTATTTGGATATGCTACTTTTAAGATGTTTTTCCAGTTAACAACTACAAGTTGATTTCATGATTATCTAATGACTGGCACTAAAAGCAGTGTTAGCAGTGGTGCTGAATAAATTGGCCATACCGATGCAATCGATAGTAAGAAAATGTAATGAGCTGATCAGTGAGGAGACAAAACTTGATTATATAATCAGATTCAGGGAATTCACTGACTTCTTCTGATTTTGGCAAAGGTACCATTGCTCTTTCAAACACTTAATAGGTTTACATCAAAGGGGGCCGAATACATAGTGATGGAAGATGGTTTGACTGTGGGTGGTGGACACAATGCAATATTCAGATCATGTATCATAGAAATGTACACTTGAAACCTATATGATCTTATTAACCAATATCACCCCAATAAATTTGGTAAAAAAAAGTTTTCAGCCCAAATAAAGAATGGTCTAATTGTGCCAGGAAAAGAATAAGCAAGCATAAAATGAGAACTCAAAAGAAAGATGAAAGCACTAATATAGTTATCTGAGAAATCACATAGCAGAACGAGCAAGTCATCCAGGAAACAAATTATAACCTAAATATAATTCTCTGGCATAGTTCACACATCTAGAAATAAGTCTCATTGCCATTTCCTTTGTCACTGACTGCTACAAAAGATCGTCCCAGGTTACTGATGAAAACTACATGTCTTCTCATAATAATAAAAGGCTAGAAATTGGAAATGAAGTTTGAAGAGAAAAAGGAAAAAGAAGATTGAGTCCTCAATCATATCTTCCTCAGTTCATACTTATCCTTTTCCCAGCTCCTTGATTAACTACCTCAAAATCATTCCCATTCTCAACACTCTTAGACCCCTGAAATATCCAACCTAAATATTCCACTCATATTCCCTCTTATTCTCTACTCTAGGGTTTCTATTTCCACCTATGTTTCAGAATTTTAGCTTTTCATGAGCCTCATCATCACCAGGAAGCACACAAGTAAAAGAAGTGGAAGTTTCACAAGTAATTCAGCAAAATTATAACTTGTCATTTGGAACAACTATGCTTTCCTTCTACAACAAATCTAACCAACTATCTAAGTTTCATATATATACCTTTCACTAAGACAAAATAAACAAACAAGAACTGCTAAATCTTACCTGATGTTTCATGTAATGATTCATGTAGGGGGTTGCCATTCTACTAACTTTGAGGCAAAATGGACATAGCAAGTTCTTTGTGTTTTCATGGGATGTTCTAAAATGAGTTTCTACATCAGAAAATGTTGATGATCTAAACTGGCAAACCTAGAAATACAAAGAAGGTTTGGTTTAACTTGAAAATTTATAACTGATATACAATTACATTAAAGTAGCAATGATGCATCATTTGTTCAAAGGAACATTATGTACTCCTAATTCAGCTTTGCTGCCTATACAATCAAGAATCCCAACCCTGGCTGGTTTGGCTTAGCGGTTAGAGTGTTGGCCCATGAACCAAAGAGTCACAGGTTCAATTCCGGTTAAGGGCACATACCTCAGTTATGGTTCGTCCCCAACCATGGTTGGGGTTGTATGAGGAGCAACCGGTTGATGTGTCCCTCTCACATCGATGTTTCTCTCTCTCTCCCTCCCACTCTATCTGAAGATAATTGAAAAATATCCTTGAGTGAGGATTAAAAAAAAAAAAGAATCCCATCACTAGAAATAATGATAATTGTTGAAATAGAAAAGTTATCATTCAACGTTTAAGGATATATTCCTAAATATAACTAGATTCCCTTCTTTTCAGATCTACTACCCCCTCTTCTTGACTTAAATTTTCAGACACTGACACCTCTTGTCCTATAAAGTTTTTCCTGCTATATAAAATGGAGTGTTTATTTGTGGAATATAATGAACATAACAGTCTGAAGAACAGGGTAGTCCCAGAGACGTGGAAGTGGGGTACAGGCTGACAATCCCCAGAAGAAGGGGTGGGGGGGAGAGATAAACCATAGAACTTATATGCATGTATGCATGACTGATGGACATAGACAACAGAGTTGGGGACAGGGTGGGGAGGGAGGGGGTGGAGGGTGTCAAAGGGGAAAAATAAGAAACATCTGTAACAAAAATAAATAAATTAATTAATTTAAAAAAAAAGAAAAGAAATTGGGCAAATAGAAAATTTAAAAAAATGTTACTGAGAAAATAAAATAAATAAAATGGAGTGTTCTCCTCTTTGGATTTTAAATAGCACCCAGGATATGACAGAGGCAATTTATCTTTGTTTACTATCTTATTGAGAACCACTTTAAATTCTGGAAAAATAGCATCCATAAAGCATTTAGTTGAGTTCCACATAACTAACAGCATTTACTGTTTCTTTGGAATGTCTGTATTTTTCCCTACTTTGTAAGAACGTCCATATGTTTGTCTTTTTCCTGAAGGGTATTTTGCTTTTCTAGTACAGGGGTCAGCAAACTATGATTCATAGGCCAAATCCAATCCACCACCCACACATACGTGAGTTAAACCAAGGGAATTTCCATGATTGAAGAAGATCTTCAATTTTAGTAACTTGTTTTATTTAAATGGTTAAAAAATATTATTTTGTGGCACATGATAATTAAACGAACACCTAAGTACACAATAAAATGTGCGCGTACCTGGCAAATATATGGCATTTCACCGGGTTTATGAGTGTCCTTCATATGTTGCAAAAGAGCATGTTCTGTTTCAAACGATAATTCACAGATTTTACAAATAGCTGAAATTGAAAAAAAACACATATTACACCATTTTAAGGATCTACATAAATAAAAGGTTCATCTTGTACATCTATAACAACAGTAACAACAAATAATAATAGTAATAGTGATGGTGGCTCCACCAGTTCCATAGTTGTTATCTCTGTTAATGCTGTTCTGAAGACTTTACTTATATTAGCATAGTTAATAATTCCCATTCCATTGCTATTTTTATTCCCATTTTTCAGATGTGGAACCTGAGGCACAGAAAGATTAAGTAACTTGCTTGAGATCTCTCAGTTGTATTAAGAAGCAAAGCTGGCCCTGGCCAGTTTGGCTCAGCGGTTAGAGCATCGGTCTGCAGTCCAGAGAGACCAGGGTTCGGTTCCCGCTAAGGGCATGTACCTCAGTGACAGTTTGTCCCCAGCCCTGGATGGGTCGTGCGGGAGGTAGCCACTCGATGTGTCCCTTTCACATTGATGTTTCTCTCTCTCTCTCTCTCCTTCCACTCTATCTGAACAAAAAATGGAAAAATATCCTCGGTTGAAGATTAAAAAGAAAAAAGAAGAAGCAAAGCTGGAATTTGGATCCAAGCTGCCTAATTCCACAATGTAATTTTAACTTTCATTGCAGTTACTTTTCTTATTAGAGTATAAATCAAGACCATTGATTTCATATTTATAAACCAGGTAATGTGTTTTTCTAACTTACTCCTTACACACAACTTCAACTTAAGTAATTTTATTGAAAAGTTTCTACTAGTTAAAACTTGTTTTTCAACTTTGCCCTCAAACTATAAGTCTATTTCTTATTTTTATTTTTATATTAGAATTCTTAAGGATTCCTCATAGTTTAGATGATCAAAATCATTGATGTTCAGGACTTCAGTGAAACTGTGACTTACTAGAAAATTCATGAGGTGTGTGTGTACTCTCAATGTGACACTGTAGCTGGAATGGTGTGGGATACTGACGGTAACAGTGCTGGCAGGTGGTGTGGCTTTCCCAGCTCTCGCTGTTCTGCTTTTCAAGTTCCAAATGGTGTTTCATGTGGTTCATAAATCTATAAATAATTGTAGACAGGTACAAATATTCAGATTTATAACCAAAATAACCCCTCACAAATAAGTATCTGAACCTATATGTTAAAAAGGCAGCTATATCACTCAAAATAATATCTCTAAGCCTTAAAGTTCTCTAGAAAAGTGTGTACTTCAAATAATCACTTTCATTAAGTGGCTCAGTAAATATATTTGTACAAAATAATTTCTTTGTTTTAAAACAACCCATTAATAGTTAATATGAAATACCACTAATTTGCTAGAACTTTTCATCATATTTCAGATTTTTTTTTTGTAAAGGACAAACATCAGGCTTCTTTTCCATATATAAAATACTATTTACATTTTAAAATAAAATACTTAAAGGAATGAAACTACCACCAAAAGCAGTTACAGAGTCATGAGCGAAATCCTTTGAAGGCCTTAAAGATATAAAACTGGTTTCAGCTGCTTAAAGGACAAATTATTAGTATTCTTCTAGATAGCAATCATCATGGAGGTTTAACATTTATCTTTTCACACTTCCAAAACACTACTTCATTTTAGAGTACACTTTGAAATGTCTTCTTTCCTTCTCATTTTAACATCATCTATATTCAAGTCTATTTAAAAAGTCCTAGTCTTGCCTAAATATTTACAAATAAGGATTATGAGCCATTAAACTTTAAGTTCATAACTTTAGGAAATAAAATATATTTTTATAAAATAATCTTTCAATTATTACACTGCTCCCATCAGCAGCTCACACTGCTCAAGCCCCTAACAAGGTTATTCTCAGAATAAAATGGCCCTACATTGGTTATACTCATTGTAGAAAAGTGTATCCAACAATATGTTGCTAGGGCAGAGAATAGAAATCTTGAGCTATTACCTTCTAACCATTCTCTTAAACCAACAATTTGACATCCTTGTTTTTACTATTAAGGTAAAATACTATTTAACATATATGACAGTTTTTATTGTTCAGGTTTCATTTACTCACTAATATGTCAAAAAAGCTATAAAATTCCTAGATATTATAAAATATGTTTAGCTTAAAATTTCTAGATAGTCTGATAATCTAGAAATCTGTAACCAGTCCTTTGAAATAAAAACAAAAAAGAAAGTTTCATGTTTAATATTAAATGGCTAACCTTAAAGGAAAAGCCAAAAAGCTTTTGCTCAAAAGAAAAGAACTTCTAGCCATGACTGGTTGGTGTGACTCAATAGAGCGTCAGCCCCTACACCAAATGGACTCAGGTTTGATTCCCAGTCAAGGGCACATACCCAGTTGGGGCATGTGCAGGAGGCAACCAATCAGTATGTCTCTCTCACATCGATGTCTGTCTCTCTCTCTCTCTCTCTCTCTCTCTCTCTCTCTCTCTCTCTCTCTCTCCTCCTTATCCCCCTTCTACTCTCTAAAAATCAATGGAAAAAATATCCTCAGGTGAGGACAAACAAAAATAAATAAACACAAATAAATAAATAACTTCTGATGCCATGTGCACATTAAGTATAATAAAGAACTTAACCAGTGAACCACTTTTTCTGAATTTTACCAAAATTTCTAATGTTATTTTTAGATGTATTTTACTGTAAAAATGGTAAAAATATGGAAGGAGGTCGCAGTGTTTCAGTGTTATGGCTCAAAGTACAATTTCTCTTCTGTTAAGCTACTGCTATCATTAGCAGCTGATGGCTGTTAGGGCTTGATTAAAAGGAGGTACAGAAGTGTGAAAACTCATATAAATAATATTTGAAAGATCTTTGAAAATTATAAAGCACTACCCTAAATGTAGTATTAATAACTTAATTTATACATATATTACAGTATATTTCAGCATTTTTCTATGTACCTTCTAAACCCAAAATTCACCATAAAATGATAAAATAAATTTTGGGCTTAAAATGACCTATAGGATACCTAAGAATATTAGTTACAAATGATGGTTATCAAGGGTAAATATTTTTTAAAGTTTACATATACGTGTGTCACAATATAGGTACATGTATACACATACGTATATGTAACTCACATAAGAGAAGTCCACTGATGTCTGCAATTTACTCTGAAAAGTATCAAAAATCAGATGGGTCTATGGATGAATACATAAATATGTAGTAATGCAAGTATAGTAAAACATTAATGGTAGAAATGAGGTGGGTAAATATATGCAGATGTTCTCTATAAAACTTTTCAACTTTGCTGACTATTTAAAAAATTTTATAATAAAATGTTGGAAAAACAATGTCACGTTATACGGTATAAACAATAAAAAATACCAATCAATGCCTTGTTATTTTGTTCTTGTTACTATCTCACTTAGGATGACAGATATATAATATGCCATATAACTCAAAGACTGCAAAGTCCAAGTTCCTAAAATTTAAAGCATATATGTATAAACTTTCAAAATTCCACTGAGAATTAAATCTCTATTTTTAAAATGTGCTAAACTATAAAGTCAAAACAGACATGTTTCAAAGAACTGGTACTCTTATAAAGAAGATCATCCCCCCCCCCCCTCAAAAAAGAGAGAGATCACTTTCTCTGCAAGGTAAGTGTGCTAAAAATTATAAATATTAACTGAAAAATTAGATAAAAAATTAGAAGACTAGTATGAAGGAGGTCAAACTGGATAAAGTGGTTCTTCCTATGATAGGAAAAGTAAGATTGAAAAGCAGCTAAAAATAAAAATGTCTCATGAAAACTCCTAGTTCAATGATAAATATAAAAAAGAGGTAAATTTCCCCTAGGTTAAGGTAAATTTTGTCCTTCCTTAAGTTGTTGGAAAGAAATACAACTAAGTGAGTGGACCCAAGTGTCAAACTCCTAAAACACAAGAAAGGACTAAAGTTTTTCACCATGATATTCTGCCTTAGCTCTTCATAGAAAGTATTAAAATTGCTTATCTAAGATGGCACAGAAAAATAAAGATACAATAATTACATTTGTAACATCCCAATTTTCAAACAGAAACAGAGGCATTTACATACCTAATATTATTTTTAAGAACTTTCAGGCAACTGAAGCATTTAAAGGTTGTGTAAGTCTTCTGTTCATTGTCAACATCTCCTTCATGTTTTCCGTAGTAAAAGTCACTAACTAACATGATCAATTTTTCTTTCTCTGCACCAGTCTTATCTTTATTTTCAGTACCTGAAATTTCTACTTTAATCATTTCCAAAAATTTATTTAGCATGTCTGGACAACAACGCTGAAAGAGAAAAAATATATATAAATAAGCCTTACTTATATATCTTTTAAAAATTAGATTAACAAAAGACCTATTTGCAGAAAACTACAGGCCATTGAAAAAAAGAGGAAGATATAAAAAAGTGGAAGCACATACCCTGTTCATGGATTGGGAGAATTAACATCATTAAAATGTCCATATTACCCAAAGCAATATATAGATTCAACGCAATCCCCATCAAAATACCAACGGCATACTTCACAGAATTAGAACAATTATTTCAAAAGTTCATATGGAAACAAAAAAGGTCTCGAATAGCCATAGCAATCTTGAAAAGAAAGAACAAAGTTGGAGGGATCACAATACCAGATTTCAGGTTATACTACAAAGCCACTGTAATCAAAACAGCCTGGTACTGGCACAAGAACAGGCATATAGACCAGTGGAACAGAACAGAGAACTCAGAAATGGACCCAAGGCAATATGCTCAATTAACATTTGACAAAGGTGGCAAGAGCATACAGTGGAGTAAGGACAGCCTCTTTAATAAATGGTGCTGGGAAAATTGGACAGCTACATGCAGAAAAATGAAACTAGACCATCAACTTACACCCTACACAAAAATAAACTCAAAATGGATAAAAGACTTAAATGTGACTCGTGAATTCATAAAAATCCTAGAAGAGACTGTAGGCAACAAACTTTCAGACATCATACGCAGCAGAATTTTTACTGACACATCACCTAAGGCAATAGAAACAATGGAGAAAATGAACACATGGGACAACATCAAACTCAAAAGCTTCTGCACAGCGAAAGATACAATCATCAAAACGGAAAGGCTACCCACTGTATGGGAGAGCATAATTGCCAATGATATATCAGATAAGGGGTTAATTTCCAATACATATAGAGTGCTCATACAACTCCACAAAAGGAAGACAAAGAATCCAATTGAAAAATGGGCAGAGGAACTAAATAGACACCTCTCCAAACAGGACATACAAATGGCTAAGAAACATATGAAGAAATGCTCATCATCACTAATCATCATAGAGATGCAAATTAAAACAACAATGAGGTATCACCTCACACCTGTCAGAATGGCCGCCATCAACAAATCATCAAACAATAAGTGTTGGTGAGGGTGTGGAGAAAATGGGACTCTAGTGCACTGCTGGTGGCAATGCAGACTGGTGCAGTCACTATGGAAAACAATATGGTGTTACCTCAAAAAACTAAAAATTGAACTTCCATTTGACCCAGTGATTCCACTTCTAGGAATATACCCTAAGAAGCCTGAAACACCAATCAGAAAGAATATATGTACTCCAATGTTTGTAGCAGCACTATTTACAATAGCTAAGATCTGGAAACAGCCCAAGTGTCCATCAGTAGACGAATGGATAAAAAAGCTGTGGTACATATACACAATGGAGTACTATGCAGCTGTAAGAAAGAAAGATCTCTTATCCTTTGAGACGACATGGAGGGAACTGGAAAATATCATCCTAAGTGAAACAAGCCAAATAGAGAAAGACAAGTTTCATATGATCTCACTTATTTGTGGAATATAATGAACATAACATTCTGAGGAATGGGGTAGTCCCAGAGACACAGAAGTGGGGTACAGACTGACAATCCCCTAAAGACGGGGGTGGTGGGGGAGAGATAAACCACAGAACTTATATGCGTGTATGCATGAACAGTGGACATGGACAACAAACTGGGGAAAGGGCAGGGAGGGAGGAGGAGGGGGGAATCAGTGGGGGAAAAAGGAGAAACATCTGTAACAAATATTAATTAATAAAAAAAAAGAAAAAAAATTAGATTAACAACAAAAAAATAATTCTGTGTTCATAACTAGGGCCAGCTCATATAAAACTATGCCTGGCACTATATCTGGAAAGAGGAAAGATATTCACCAAAGTATTGGCCTCTTTCTTTTTTAAAAAACTTATCTTTATTGTTGAATGTATTATTGATGTTCCCCCTTTTGATCCCCACTGACTCCCCGCCGCCCCAATCCTGCCCCATTCCTGCCTTCTCCACACTATTGTTTGTGTCCATTGGTTATGCATATGTACATAGTTCTTTGATTTATCTCTTCCCGCCCTACCTCCCCACTTCCCTTTGAGGTACAAAAAAATTGTACTTCTTAATTCCTTCATCTTCTTCACCCATGTCCCCACAGCACCCTCGCATTTGGCAAGCAACAAAAAGTTCTCTGTATCTATGACTGTTTCTGTTCTGCTTGCTCATTTTGTTTGTAGATTCAATTGTTGATAGATACGTATTTATTGCCATTTTATTAATCATATTTTTGTTCTTCTCCTTCAAGAAGACCCTTCAACATTTCATATAATACTGGTTTGGTGGTGGTGAACTCCTTTAGCTTTTTCTGGTCTGGGAAACACTATGTCCATCAATTCTAAATGATAGCTTTGCATGATAGAGTATTCTTGGTTGCAGGTCATTGCTTTTCATCACTTTGAATATCTCTTGGCACTCCTTTCTGGACTGCAAAGTTTCTTTTGAGAAATCGGCTGACACTCTTGTGAGAGCTCCATTGTAGGTAAGGAACTGCTTTTCTCTTGCTGCTTTTAAGATTCCCTCTTTGTCTTTAATCTTTGGCATTTTGATGATGATGTCTTAGTGTGGACCTCTTCGGGTTCATGTTGTTTGGGACTCTCTGTGCTTCTTGGACTCGTATGTCTGTTTCCTTCACCAAATTAGGGAAGTTTTCTGTCATTATTTTTTCAAATAGGTTTTCAATTTCTTGCTCTCACTCTTCTGGCACCCCCATGATGCGAATGTTGGTACACTTGAAGTTGTCCCAGAAGCTACTTACACTGTACTCATTTTTTTGGATTCTTTTTTCTTTTTGCTGTTCTGAATAGGTGTTTTTTGCTTCCTTATATTCCAAATCGATGGTTTCTTGGCTTTACCTACTCTACTATTGACTCTCTGTAAGTCATTCTTTATTTCAGTTAGTGTATCTTTCAGTTAGTGCACCAGACAAGTGACTGGTCCTTTTTTTATGTTGTTGGTGTTCTCATTAAGTTCCTTGGAATTCTCCTTAAGTTCCTTGAAGGTCTCACTAAGTTCCTAAAGCATCCTTATAACCAGTGTTTTTAATTCTATGTCTGATTGATTGCTTATCTCCATTTCGTTTAATCCTCTTCCTGGAATATTGTTGTGTTCTTTCACTTGGGACATATTTCTTTGTATCCTCATTTTGGCTGCTTCCCTGTGTTTTTCTCTATGTATTAGGTAGAGTTGCTATGTCTCCTAGGCTTCATAGGGTGGCCTATTGTTGTAGGTGTCCTGTAGGGTCCAGTGGCACAGCCTCCCTGATTACCCCAGCTGGGCCCTCGAGGTGCACTCCTAGTGTGGACTGTACACTCTTCTGTTGTAATTGAGACTTGATTGCTATTGGCACGTCAATGGGAGGGACTTACTGAGGCTGATCAGCTGCAAAGACTGGCTGTGCCCACGGACCATTGGCCTCTGAACCCTTTGGAGGATCAGTGATATAGGGCCTCAACACATAGAGCAAGACTTACTTCAGCAGAGGTCTAGTACCCACTGAGTCCACTCATTGAATGTGTTGCTTGTGGAGGTGGTTGGGTGGTGGTGCTTTGCCCTGGTCTGAAACTGTCCACTGGATGTGCTGGCTCTGGGGCAAGGTCAGCCACTGCCTGTGTTTTACCTGGGGCCACCTAGCATAAGCTATAAAGTGATCTGCAGATGGCTGCTTCCAGTGCCAGGCCTGGGGCCACTTAACGAGAGGTATGGGGCTCACTGAGACCAGATGCTGCTTGTTTGAGAGATTTTAGAAAAATCTGAAGCAGGATCCAAGACAGGCCATTCTTATGGTAAAGCCACTGGAAATAGCTTGGGTGGGCCTGAAGGTTGGGTGGAGCAGGACTTCCGGGAATCACCAGAGTGTGGTAAACAGTGTGAGCCATGTTGCTGGAGTCCAAGATATGGTGGTTGTCTACTGCCCCAGGGAAGGGCTCACCAAAGGAACAATGGCTTCCCACAGCAAATCTGTCCAGAAGAAAGCTGCCCCTCCAGCTCTCGCCCCAATGCTGAATAATTCAGTTCTTCCCTGTATGTCTCTGGTACCTTTCAAGCTGCCTCCCCAATGCTGGAGCCCAGAAGGAGTGAGTCCGAGTAATTTTGTGTGCAGGTCCTTTAAGAGCAACTGCCTGGGACATCAGCAGCCTCAGCCTCAGTTCCCACTGGTTTTTACAGCCCGAAGTGATGGAGACTTCTCTTCCTGGCACTGGAACTCTGAGCTGGGAGCCTGGTGTGGGACGGGGACTCCTCACTCCTCAGAGAGTACCTTCACAGCCGAGGTATCCTCCTGACTTTTATCCGCCACACGTGGGTGTCGGACCAGCCCGTCCGCGCCTCCACCCCTCCTACCAGTCTCAACGTGACTTCTTCTTTAATTTCATATTTGTAAGACTTCCATCCAGCCTGATGTCAGGCAGTTCTGAATGATGGTTGTTCTGTAGTTCAGTTGTAATTCTGATGTGGTTGTGGGAGGAGGCGAGTACCACATTTACCTATGCTGTCATCTTGATCGGTACTCTAGCCCTTTCTTTATATAGTTTAAAATTCAAACTATAAACAAATTTTATCTTAATAAAGAAATAACTTAAAAAAATTGAAAACCTCAAGATTAGGGATGGCTATATATTAACCTTTTCCCTTGCAATTAAACTTTTTTGATATAAATATTAAATAATAATTTGACATTGGGCCAAAAATCAGACATTTCATATCTGTGTTAAAATATAGTTTAACACAGTAGTATTTCAGTAAAGAAAATTGCCATTCTCCAGACTCAAGGTGCCTAGAAAATGTGTGGGATACAAAGAAAGAAATATCAGTTACATCTTGAAAACTTCAACACATTCTATCCAGAATGCTGAAATATCTTGGAAATCTACCTCATGAATAAAATCAAGACTGCATATAAACTAACCTTAATGGGAAATACTTTCATATATAAACTTTTTATTTCTAATGACATAAAACTAATTCACTTATTAAATATATTTTTATTGATTTTTGGAGAGAGAGGAGGGAGGGAGAGAGGGGGAGAGAGAGAGAGAGAGCGAGATTGATGTGAGAGACAAACATTTATTGGCTGCTTCCGACACATATCCCGACCAGGGATCGAACCTGCAATCTGGATATGTGCCTTGACTGGGAATCGAACCAGTGATCTTTTGGTGCATGGGTCAACACTCAACCAACTGAGCCACACCAGCCAGGGCTAATTCACTTATTATATACAATTTTCAGTTACAGAATTTCTCTAGAAGAATTATTTAGGAATAACTAGACAGCAAAATATAAACATTCCTAAAAACACAAACTACAGCCCTGGCCAGTTTGGGTCAGCGGTTAGAGCATCGGTCTGTGGTCCAGAGAGACCTGGGTTCGGTTCCTGCTAAGGGCATGTACCTCGGTTGCAGTTTGTCCCCAGCCCTGGTTGGGTCGTGCGGGTGGCAACCACTCTGTGTGTCCCTTTCACGTCGATGTTTCTCTCTCTCTTTCTCTCTCCCCCTTCCACTCTATCTGAACAAAATATTGAAAAATGTCCTCTGGTGGGGATAAAAAGAAAACAAAACACAAACTACACACACACAATGCAGTTGCAAAGTGAAAGGTTTAAAAAATAAAGCAAGCACAAGAAAAATTGTGACAGAATCATGACCAATTATTCCTGTCAGACCAATTAAATCCATCCTATCAATGCATACAATGTTTATCTCAACTGCTACAAAAAATAAATTTCACGTAGGATCGCAAAAGAAAAAACAACACTGGTGAAAGCAAAAAACAAGTGATTTGGAAGGGTTGAATATAAAAAGATAAACAAAGAATATAACAGGCAAATGAGCATATAAAAAAGCAAAAGTTGTGAGCCTGATATCAAATAAAAGAGAATCCAGGCCAAAAATGGGACAGTTTATAAAAATGCTAAAGGATACATTCATAATGAAGTTAAGAGATAGATCCACCTGTATCTTAAATGGTAACAACTGTAACATAGAATTGGAAGATATCAAATAAAATAGTGGTAAGAATGTGAGACTTTGAGACCCTTCTCAAACCATTACAGAACAAGTAGACAAATATAAGTGAAGATATAGAGACCTAAATAACACATTAGTAACCTAAAAACAAATAACACCCTTTATTTTCAAGTTTCCAAATAACAGTCAAGAAAATAGCCCATATAATTTTCTTCTTTTTTTTTTTTATCTCACCTGAGGACATTTTTGCACTTATCTTCAGATAGAGTGGGAGGGAGAGAGGGAGGAAGAGAGAGAAAGAAACAGCGATGTGAAAGAGACACATCGACTGGCTGCTACCCACATGTCCCCAACCAGGGCTGAGGCCAAACTGCAACCGAGGTAGTGTCCTTAGCGGGAACTGAACCCGAGCCTCTCTGGTCTGCAGGCTGACGCTCTAATTGCTGAGCCAAACTGGCCAGGGCTAATTTTCAAAATGGAGAGAAAAGTGTGTGCGAGAACCTGGGCTTTGCCATTAAAGAGAATTAAGTGTGAATTACAGCTATTTCAATAAATTGGCTATAAAACAACGAAAAAAAAATCTATCCTAAAGAATTTTCTAAGGATTAAATAAGGTATTATAAAGCTGAGTACTGTGTCTTAGCTCAATAGGATGTTGGACTTATACTCTAAATATTTCTCCTTTGGAAGAAAGCATTATGTCTGTGGCACAGTAATCCACTTATCTATAATAACAGCAAAAGATATTCACAAATAATCTAAAACTCACATATTTAAAAAATGGAAAAATAAGAACATTTATGTGTGCCTGTATGTGCAGAAAGCAAGTCAAAGAGGATACAAACAAATTAATAAAAAGTATTTCATTTGTGAGTTGTACTGGGAAGTAGGCAAATAAGGAGATGGGTGATATTTTTCTTATACTTTTTGAACCATAAGACTATATTACTTCCAGAGTTAAGTAAACTAAAAATAACTAAGAAACTCAGCCCTTTCTTTTCTCTCTCCATCAATAATGCAAAACATAAAAACATCAATATTACACAGATAGGAAAACTGAAAGCACTTGTAGAAGTTAGTTACTTCTTACATAAAAACCAAAACCCAAATCCAGTTAGCAGGAGTCACACTTAGATGGAAATAGTGAGAAATCAAATATAATTTATGTAAAAAAAAAAAAAGGAAATATATTTGGAATGCTTCTTTTCTTATTACTTTTTTTTGGTAAAATTCTGAATTTCAATGAAGAATTTGTCATTCTTTGAAATATTAATAACGTTTTGTAATTTGCTTCTTTGCCTTGTACTCATCTTATTCCTTGTCTCCTGCATATAATCTACATTGCCTTCTTTCTTGCCTCCTTTCCCCCTTCCTGCCATTTATACTGGGCATGCAATAAGAAAACAGACTATCTTTCCACAGACACACAGAACTCTGTGATATCCACTAAAATCTTTTAAGAGGAGTGATACCTAAACCTCATACTTCATTAACACTTTGAAAATTACCTAAAACCTAATTTGAAGAGCTTCCTACACTAATAAAAAGCTAGAATTAATTTATAGCAAGTATACAAACTACATTCTGGATTGAGTTAAAACTATCATTTAATGTGAAATGATCCATCATTAGGAGTTTATGTCTGAATATCGAAAACTAAAATGCAAGACTAAGATTTTTCATTAAATAATGTGACATACAGCACAGACAAAAAATAAGGTAAAAATGCATTTTTAAATTACATGTAAGATTAAGCACCTAATAAAATATTGATTAATACATTATTTTCATTAAAAATTAAAATACAGTCCAGCCAGTTTAGCTCACTGGTTGAGCGTCAACCCATGCACCAAGAGGTCGCTGGTTCAATTCCTGGTCCGGGCACATGCCAGGTTGTGGGTCCGATCCCCAGTGGGGGGCATGCAGGAGGTGGCCATTCAATGTTCTCTTTCATTGATGTTTCTATATCTCTCTCCCTCTCCCTTCCTCTCTCTCTAAAATCAATAAAGAAAAAATATTTTAAAAAATTGAAATATAGTATGCATATACTATAGTGCATATAAACTTAATTTTTAAAATCTGATGCTTCAGAAAAATTTTTAAATCTTGTATGAATATCATTATGAATATCAATTTTTACTTAAATTATATGAAAATAGCAACGAGGAGATTTCCTATCTAAATGTCTGGACAAACTAGCACTTAATATATATCAATACTTAATATTTTCAGAGATTTTTATTTCTAAAAATAAAATTTTGAAAAAGTGTTTACCTTCATGTGATATTTCAAAGCATCCAAAATATTGAACTGAACATTGCACTTTGGACAAGATCTTTGGAAAGGCCTTCCAGTTTTATGTTCAGTTGATGAGGTATCTAAAATAAATTAAAAATTTTTATGACTCAAATTTTTCTTTTTTAAACCTTAAACAACCAGCAATAATAGTTAAAAAATTATCACAATTTCTAAAATTTATATAATTTATTTTTATATATCATATTCATATTTACCTTTTGATATCATAACTGAGGAGGATGTCACTGAAGGAGAGCTGTCCAAAGATAACGAAGCACAAGAATCTATTTCAGAAACATCTTCACTGGTCTTTGGCTTTTTTGGATTAGTAGAATGTTTTATTACAGGCAGAGTTTCATCCAGACCTACAATTTAAATAGTGAAAAGGTATTTGTAAATGCTTTAGTATAGAACATTGCTTACAAATGCTATTAAAATGGTCTTACCTTTAAAACTAAGCAAAAATACTTTAGAGCTAAATTAAAGGTAGTACAATTAAGTTATCATATCATACAAATGACAATAAAGAATGATCAAAATTTATATAATAGGTAGAAAAAATGCACAAAAACTACTCTGGAGCACATATTTTTAAACTCAATAAACTTTAATGCAAAAAATTTTAAAGATGCTTTCAAATAAAGAAATATATATATATGGTAGCATGAAAAAAGTCAGACCAAAACAATCCCCAGAAAAATATTAAACCACAGAGAATATTCTAAGCTCCATTCCAAAATGGAATTATTTTTAGATGCATCAATACATTTGAGCTTGTAAACAAAAACAATTTCTATTCTAAAAATTAGAAGTATCCTTTAAGATACTTAGAAATACTTAAGATGTCTGCCCTGGCTGGTTTGGCTCAGAGGTTAAAGCATCAGTCCAAGGACCAGAGTTGCGGGTTTGATTCTGCTCAAGGGCACATACCTCGGTTGCGGTTTGTCCCTAGCCCTGGTCGGGGTCATGTGGGAGGCAACCAACCAATCAATGTGTCTGTCTCACATTGATGTTTCTCTCTCTCTCTCTCTCCCTCCCTCCCACTCTATCTGCAGATAAATGGAAAAATATCCTCAGGTGAGGATTTAAAAAAACCCACTTAAGGTGTCTAATGGAAAACTCAAGTTGGTTCTTTTTCCACTTCACAACCTGACAGGTAGTTAAAATTATCTGTTTATTCCCCTGAGTCTAATAGTTATGTCTTAGGGAATAGAGTGGGTATGTCAGAAAAAGAAAATACCCTTTAACCTTTTTTAAAAATTAGACTTTTAAATATAATTTTGTTTAAATAGAGGTTTCATTGCTAAAAAGTTTTGAGTTTGAAAACCATCACCTTAAAGGCTAAGGATTACATAATTCAGGGCATTTGCAAGATAAGTGGGGCTATTTAGGCTATAACCAGATCCAGAAAAAGTCCTTTTGAAATAACACACAATTGTATTTTGTAATAAAAAATTTTAAATTTCACATATTTTAATGTTCCCAACTGTACACTAATAGGAGAAGCAGTAGAATAAATATAAGCCAGGAAAATAAGAGCATTACATTAGTGGGCTCCTCTGTCAAATCTGTATTTCATTCTTTGAGATAACATAGAAATGATTTTTTCTGTCTTCAAGTACATGATTACTAACAACAATATTGCAGGCACTTGGGACTGATTTTTGTGTAATCACACTAGCATTCTTCTCAGATGCTTCAGTTTCTTTTTTTTTTATCCTCACCCGAGGACATTTTTTGTTCAGATAGAGTGGGAGGAATAGAGAGAGAGAAAGAAACATTGACGTGAAAGGGACACATCGAAAGGGACACGTCAAGTGGCTGCCTCCCACACAACCCAACCAGGGCCAGGGACAAACTGCAACTGAGGTACATGCCCTTAGCGGGAACTGAACCCGGGTCTCTCTGGACCGCAGGCCAATGCTCTAACTGCTGAGCCAAACCGGCCAGGGCAGATGCTTCAGTTTCTTGAACAACCAATGAATGCTGGTATTTTGGACTAGGTGATGATTCTCTAGTAGGCTGTATAGTAAATACAGACTTTTATATATAACTTTTTAAAGTATGAGTGAATATCCAAGTTAAATAAAATCACTCTGAGCTCAACAGTTTTATATTCTGATTCTTCAACTTATTTATATCTGTTGTCTTTGACTTGTGTTGTTCACTATCCTCAACAGTGTCAATAAAAATCCTATTTCATTCTGCAAAATCAAGTTTAAATCCAACCTTCTCCAAGAACTTTCTATAATCACCCTAGACCAGTGGTTCTCAACCTTCCTAATGCTGCGACCCTTTAATACAGTCCCTCATGTTGTGGTGACCCCCAACCATAAAATTATTTTCGTTGCTACTTTATAACTGTAATTTTGCTACTGTTATGTCTTAGGCGACACCTGTGACGGGCTGTTCGACCCCCAAAGTGGTTGCGACCCACAGGTTGAGAACCGCTGCCCTAGACAGAAATCTGTTAATCATTCTTCTGAACACACAGCACCTATTGGTATTCATAATTATCATGTTAACAACTGTTGTCAAGTCCTTTAAGATTTAATGTATTACTCACTCTTCACTTCTCATTTGAGCCTCAAGAAAGCTCTGAGATAAGTAGAGCAAGAATTAAAATTATATCTCCAGTCCTGGCCAGTTTGGCTCAGCAGTTAGAGTGTTGGCCCATGGACTGAAGGGTCACGGGTTCAATTCCAGTCAAAGGCATGTACCTGGGTTCAATCCCTTGCCTGGTCGAATAAATATAAGGAGGCAACCAATCCATGTGTCTCTCGCACATCGATGTCTCTTTCTCTTTCCCTCTCCCTCCCTTCCACTCTGTCAAAAAATCAATGGAAAAATATCCTCGGGTGAGGATTAACAAATATATGTATATATAAAATCTCCAAGTGGCTGATTTTAGGTCTTAAGAATGAATGAATTATGTGAGAAAAATAAAAGTATCTATTTTAATAATATGAGAAAATTAGGTTTAAAGAGATTAGATGACTTGATAAAGGCCACAAAAATATTTAGAACAGAGCTGAAACCTGTATCTTTCTAATAAAATATAACCTATATCTTTCTAGTAAAATATAATAACTTACTATTAGGGCAATGTTCCGTGCCTTGTAGTACTACAACTTATATAGAGAGAGTAGGAGTCATTGTGTTTAACCCCCAGAAGCTTCAAGAATTCAAGTTTTTTCTATGAATAAAAACTATGTACTTCATAAAATCAGATTTCAGACAAATACTTTTTTCCCTCATTTATTTTGGATCTTGGCTATTTTACTAACTGTATAAGTGACACCTAGATAGGTGACTATTAAGTCAAGAATTTTCAGAATGGGAAAATATTTTTTTTTTTTTTTTTTTTTATCCTCACCCGAGGACATTTTTCCATTTTTTGTTCAGGTAGAGCGGGAGGGAGAGAGAGGAACAGAGAGAGAGAGAGAAACATCGATGTGAAAGGGACACATCGAGCGCTGCCACCCGCACAACCGACCAGGGCCAGGGACAAACTGCAACCGAGGTACATGCCCTTAGCGGGAACCGAACCCGGGTCTCTCCGGACCGCAGGCCAACACTCTAACCGCTGAGCCAAACCGGCCAGGGCCAGAATGGGAAAATATTTTTTGATACACATATTACTATAAATTTCTTACTATTTTGGTTTGGTAAATGCATAATAATTTGTTAAGTAAACAATTTAAACACGCAAAAAAATATATATTGTGTACCACTCTCCATTTAGTGAAATATATCTAATTTGCTTATAGAAATAGTAATTGCTTTATTAGGAATTTTCAACTCAACAAAATTCCTTCAAGGCATACTAAGTTATTTAAACATAATGAAGAACTTTGTTATGGCATACAATCAAAGAAGAGTAATTCTTGAATTGGAAATTTTCGTTATTCCTTCAATGAATATTTACGGAGTACTTACTATGTGCAAAACAATGTTTCTTTACCACTGCCATTTTATAATACTATTCTATAATCATATTTAAAGATCATATCTACATCGTTTATTTGGATAGAAAGACACTAACTAGTCTATGAAGAAATCAACTATAACCACACAGTTTTTCTCATATCAATGATCCACCAAATTATTAATACTTAAAATATTCTATTATTAAATGATTTTATATAAAATCACCCAAGAAAAGCATTCAGAAACTATTAGCTCCCATCTTACAATATATGAAAAACTTAACATGAAGGTATGGGCTTCAAAACAAATTCATTCTATATGTATATTCATCAGTTCTCTTTTTTATTATATTTATAAAAAGTGCTAAACCAAACCTTCTATATAAATTGTTGATCCATCTTGGGGTGGTGGTATTGGGTCCTGGGTCAGGTCAAACAATAAATCCGAAGAATCATCCGATTCAACTTGTGATGAATTCTTTATAAATTCCTGTAAAAAGTTATAATTATTTAGTTTCATAAACTTTTATAAAGGTAATTTAACTGTATGCCACTACTATAAAGATAACCTTAATGATTTATTACTAATACATTATAAAACACAAATATAATTATTTACTCTGTCAAATTAGCATCTACTGAGTAAGGAGTATATGGGAATTCTCTAGATTATTATTATAATTTTTCTGGAAATCTAAAGTTATTCTGAAATGAAAAGCTAAAATTAAAACAATCATATTATTGGCAAAGTAGAGGTTATGTTTTGGTAAAACTTTTCGGCAAGACAATGTTGGCCGTATCTGTCAATGGCTTTACAAATTAATATCCTTTGATCCAATTATTTCAAATATTTCACTTCCAAGATTTCATGCTAAGAAAATGAAAATAGGACTTCCGGTCAAGATGGCGGCGTAGGGAAACGCAGTATCGCGTCCTCCCACAACCACATCCAAGTTACAACAAAACTACAGAACAACCATCATCCAAAACCGCCTGAAATCAAGCTGAATGGAAGTCCTACAACTACGGAATTAAAAAAAAAAAGCAGCTACATCCAGACCGGTAGGAGGGGTGCGGCGGCGGCACGATGGGCTGGTCCCACACCCAAGTGTGGCGGATAAAAATCAGGAGGCTCCCGCGGCTGGGAAGGTCCTTCCTGAGGACTGAGGGGGTCCCCGTCCCACACCAGGTGCACCGCTCAGGTTTCCAGTGCCAGGAAGAGAATCCCCATAACTTCTGGCTGGAAAAACCAGCAGAAACTGAGGCTCAGGGAAGCTGAAGCGGCTGGAGCCCCAGGCAGCTCCCTAAAGGGCCCGCGCACGGACTGGTCGGACTCTCTCCCTCTAAGCTCGGAGTGGAGGCAACTCGAGGGGCACCAGAGAAATACAGGGAAGAACTGAGCTGTTTGGCACTGGAGCGAGGGCTGGAGAGGGGGCTTTCTCGGGGACAAACGTGCTGTAAGAGGCCTTTGTTCCTTTGGTGAGCCCTTCCCTGGGGCAGCAGACAGTCGCCATATCTGGGACTCCAGCAACCTGGCTCACACTGGTAGCCCCGCCCTGCTGACTCCCTGAGGCCCCGCCCCGCCCCGCACAACTTTCAAGCCCACCCAAGCTGTTGCTACTTGCTTAACCATAGGATTGGCCTGTCTTGGATCCTGCTTCAGGTTTTTCCTAAATTCTTTCAAACGAGCAGCATCGGGTCTCAGCGAGCCCCATACCTCTCATTAAGTAATACACAGAAACAAACACAGGAGGCAGCCAAAATGAGGAGACAAAGAAACAGGTCCCAAATGAAAGAACAGAACAAAACCCCAAGAAAAGAACTAAGCGAAATGGAGATAAGCAACCTTACAGATGCTGAGTTCAAAATACTGCTTATAAGGATGCTCAATGAACTCAGTGAGGGCCTCAAGAGCATAGAAAAGTACCAGTCAGAAATGATCGCTGCACAGTTAGAAACGAAGGAGGCTTTAACTGAAATAAAGAATAATTTACATAGCTTCAATAATAGAGTACGTAAATCCAAGGAGCAAACCATCGATTTGGAATATAAGGAAGCAAAAAACGCCCAATCAGAACAGCAAAAAGAAAAAGAATCCAAAAAAATGAGGATAGTGTAAGGAGCCTCTGGGACAACTTCAAGCGTGCCAACATTCGCATCTTGGGGGTGCCGGAAGGAGAAGAGAGAGAACAAGAAATCGAAAACCTGTTTGAAACAATAATGGCAGAAAACTTTCCTAACTTGGTGAAGGAAACAGACATACAAGTCCAGGAAGCACAGAGAGTCCCAAACAAGATGAACCCCAAGAGGCCCACACCAAGACACATCATCATCAAAATGCAAAAGGTTCAAGACAAAGAGAGAATCCTAAAAGCAGCAAGAGAAAGGCAGCTAGTTACCTACAAGGGAGTTCCCATTAGGCTGTCAGCTGATTTCTCAAAAGAAACTTTGCAGGCCAGAAGGGAGTGGCAAGAAATATTCAGAGTGATGAAAACCAAGAACCTACAACCAAAATTACTCTATCCTGCAAAGCTGTCATTTAGAATCGATGGACATATAAAAATTTTCCCAGACAAGAAAAAGTTAAAGGAGTTCATCACTACCAAACCGTTATTATATGAAATGATAAAGGGTCTTTTTAAAGAAAAAGATAAAATGTATGAACAAACAAAATGGTAATGAATACATATCTATCAACAATGGAATCTACAAACAAAATGAACAGGAAGAACAGGAACATTCTCATAGATACAGAGAACATTTTGTTGGTTGCCAGTTGGGAAAGGGGTTGGGGGAATGGATGAAAAAGGTGAAGGGATTAAGAAGCACAAATTCATTGCTAGACTGACAAACCTCAAAGGTAAAGGGGTTGGGGGGGTGGGAAGAAATAAACCAAAGAACTTATATGCATAACCAATGGACACGGACAATAGTTTGGGAAAAGGTGGGAGGGGGGCGGGAGTGGGGAGGAGGGGGTCAATGGGGGAAAAATGTGGAACATCTGTAATACATTTTACATCCAACAATAAAGATGTGGAAAAAAAAATGAAAATATTTAATGGAAAATTATTTGTTATAGCAAAAAATAAAAACCTTTATGTCCAACAATGGAGGAATGATTAAACAGATTAAATGACAGACTATCATGCAACACCATGGTTTTGACAAATACACAGTGACAAAAATATTTTCAATATAAATTTCAGTGAAAAAAAAGATATCTGTATATAAAATATAATTCTGATTCACGATATATTCTATATACTACACTAGCACCTGCAGAAACAATATCAAAATACAGTTTGCATTCTCTTCTGCTTCTTTTCTACCTCCTACACACATATTACCTTTAAAATGGGAATATAAAAATCTTGCTTGAGTGTTTTGTGCTTAAAAGTTGACAGACAATCAGGTTTTAAGAATCTTACTTTGCTCCTAAGTTTTCTGTTGACGTGAGTTTCTTAAGAAATTATGGAGAAGAGGAGGCAAGATGACCGAAGCCTAAGGAAATTCTGTCTGCTTGCTCCTAGCACAGGACTGGACTTGAGGCTAAACTGCAGAATATTGGATTTGGGCCCTGGCCGGTTTGGCTCAGCAGTTAGAGCATTGGCCTGCGGTCCTGAGAGACCCGGGTTCGGTTCCTGCTAAGGGCATGTACCTCGGTTGCAGTTTGTCCCCGGCTCTGGTCAGTCGCGCAGGTGGCAGCCACTCGATGTGTTCCTTTCACATCGATGTTTCTCTCTCTCTCTGTTCCTCTCTCCCCCTCCTACTCTACCTGAACAAAAAATGGAAAAATGTCCTCGGGTGAGGATAATAAAAAAAAAAAAAAAAGGAAAAAAAAAAAGAATATTGGATTTGAAAAACCACCTGAAAATAGCTGACTGGAAATACTGCGAGCAGGGAGCATGAAGAGCTGACAGAAGATGTGAAGTGGGTGAGTGAACTAACGCAGCTGAGCAGCACAGCCGGAAAGACACAGGGAAGGTAGCGTAGTGCAGCTCCTGGCCACTGGGAGTGGGGGGACTCAGCCCCACAGAGAGATCCCCAAATGAGAGCAACAGAGAAGGGAAAGGAAGCCCATGTAGCAGCAGACAGTGGGAATCAGAGATGACTTGGCCCACCAGGGGGGTCTCAGCACTATCTCAGGCTAAAAGCAAGTGCTTGGTTGTAGCACCAGCTTGGGAAGTGCACCCTGATTGTGGGTGCCTGGAGGGGCCACAAAGCAGAACGGTGGACCTGAGGAGGGGTCTGAGAGGATTACACAGCAGTGAACTTGATGAGCCAAGTATCTGCTTAAAGAACTTTGATGAGGGTTAGTCAGAGTACCTGGGGAAAGAGGCACTTTCCTCCACACCTTGAGCAAAGAGGAGGCATCCCTTCCCCTAACCATGGAACAGCTCTAGGCTGGAAATCAGCACCCAAGTGGCAGGACCTGGAAGCCCTGGGGATTCAGATGTCTGGCCCAGTGGGAAAATGGGCAGAAGCCCTGTCCAGTGAGAGCCAGCTGTGCTGAAAGATTAAAGAGCCAAGCAGGGTGGCTTGTTTTATCTTTTTCTTTTTTTCTATCCTCCCCTGCTTGGGGTGGTATCAGGGGGTGTCAGCAACCCAGGCAGAGCTGAGGCATTGGAAGGAGAGGAAGAGACTACCTGCCCCGCCTATAAGCTACAGGCACCACCCACAATGAAAATCTATCTGTTTAAACCATCCTGACTGGATCTGATACTCCACAGAGCCCAGCGTTGTGGGGGAAGGGAAGGCACCCCAGAACAAGTACATTCAAGTGGTGAGCCCCGAAGCAAACCCAGTCTCTGGGTTAGGGACAGCCAGACTACCTGGAATCTTTCTCTCCAGGAGGCCCAGGGCTAGGCAGGGACAGCAATTCACATTGGCCTGCACCAGAGAACTGCCCAAGAGGACAGGGACCCACACATCAAGGGGCCAGATCCAACAACATGAGAGTAAAATCCAGTGAGCTCTATAAATAGCAGATCAAAGGTTTTGTTGTTGTTAGTGTTTTTTGTGTGTTTTATTTTTATTTCAATTTTTTCTTCTTTGCATTTCCTATTTTTTTTTATTTTCCTGTTCTATATTTTATTCAATTTAGCATTATTACGTTCCATAATTATTATTATTTCACTTATTATATTCTACCTTTTATTTTTATATTTACCCTATTTCAAGTTTCTGCCTTCTTTGCCTTCATATTTTATTTTTTTCCCTCTCCTAACTCTTTTGGTTTTACACTTTCTAGTATTCTTCGTGTGTGTGTGTGTGTGTGTATTTTCTGTTTGTTTGTCTTTTAATCTTTTTGTTGAGACTATTGATTTTATTATTGTTGATGCTGATATACTTTTCATGTTCTTTTTGGTTTGGTTGGTTTTGACTTGCCTTCTTCACACTTTCATATATATATTTTTCTCCCTCTTCTAATTCTTTTGGTCTCACACCTCCCAGTATTCTTTTTGTGTGTGTGCTGTGTGAGTGTGTTTC